TTTTTCTAAGAAAATTATCCCAGTGAAAGCTTTATGGAGTGCATTTGTTGTTTTGTTTTTTTTATTTTGCCTTTCGTAATCCAGCCTCATGTTTAGAAATTGAAGTAGATTCGCCTAAGGACCGTTTGAAAATAGAATTTTATTGTATTTTTACTACAAGTTTTGCAGGTGCCCATCAGCATAATATCGTGGCAGACAAAAATATTCTGCTCCTCTGAGAAATAAAACCCAGGGCGTGATGAAGGCAGATACTGAAGTTCGGCTCTTGCACTGTTGCTGTTCAACAAACATCTGAAGGCAGAGTCCAGTTATACAATTAACTCTTGAAGAATCAATAGGAAATGAGGATGCTAATGTTTCCACGAAGCCTGCATATTCAAGCTCTACAGCCCGAAAAACAAAGAGAAGTAATAAGAAATTCATTTGTTTTATCTTTTATCTTTTTAAGCAGACACGCATTTATCTTCCTAAACAGATTTGCCAAACCTTTTTTGAATTGCAAAGTTTTGCTGCGGATGCTTGTTATGCGGATTTGCATAAGGATTAGCAGTGTTGGGGAAGTGGTATCTCCTAACCCTTTCTATTTACTTGTGTGCTATCGGTCACTGGGTAACAGTTCTTGAAGCAATCGGTGCTTTTATTTCAGTAGATAATGCAGTTTGTTTTCATAGCAGAGCATCTAATGCTCCAAAAGTCTAGTTCAACAAAAATTACAAATGCGTTTGCTCAGGGGATTTTTCTTCCTCGTTAAGACCTCTCTGTACTTGCTGACGTCTGGGTTAAAGAATGAAAAGTTATGAAACTTCAGTGGAAAATCAGAGCTGGCATGCAGAATGTAGAAAGCAAGCTACATTCCCCAACCAAATGTGAGTGAGAGAAGCCTGTGGTCAAATCAATGCCATGTCTTAGATCAGAACTTGGCACCATGAAAACAAAGTTCACAGAGACCTGAACACCTCAGAAAGGTTAAGTTGGTTGAGGTAAAAAAGAAGTCTCTATGTGCTTTTTTTCACTCTACTTTCCTTCCAGCTTTTTGTACACCAAAGTATTGCTCAAAATATGCTCATTTTCACTGTTCAGAGAAGACTGATTTGAGGGCATCATTGCAAGTGTGTCGTGTGCATGGGACTAAGGCAAACTCATTGTGCTTGTACATTTATTTCACCTTTAGCTCTTTTCATGTGCCCTGTTCCAACGCTGATATATTACAAAGCAAAAAATATCGGGGAGCAGGCATTATTTTCATAGAATCGTTGGCATTTTGCACTTGTGGTCTCAAACGTTTGGTTAAAGATCACGTATCCAAAAGGAGTTTGGGTATTTTGTAGCACTTTTTCATCTGCTTTGCTTCTTGCCTTCTCTCAGCGCATTAAGGATTCATTTGCACTATGTCCAGCATTATCTATTAGGAATGTTGGTGTTAATGAACAGGTGCTTGTTTTCTGCTGAGCTCAGTAGTGAGGTGTTCTTCACTGTTTGTGGTTTTTTTTTCATTTTTTTCATCATTGTTAAGGTAAAATATGCTTTTTTTATAATGTATTTATAGAAAGAAACCTTTTATATTACTGATAGTGGAATGATCCAAACCCAGGGGTCTTGAAAGTAAGTCATTAAATGCTCAGGAGGAGGAAGCATCATGCTTCCCAGTGCTGCTGGTTTTACTGGGAGGAACTGTCGTCTTTTCTAAAATCTTACCTTTAAAATCAAAGGACTGTGATAAGCAGAAATAAAAAAAATAATAAGAAGGCATTTTATTTCATCACAAAGAAAATAATTTTATCTAAGAGTAACATAGTTTGAATCAGTAATAACATTCTATTGATTTCTTTTGAGCAATAAAGTGTCTGAAAATAACATCTTTCTGTCATTGGACGGCATAGATTTTGAAGTCAATAACAGAGCAGGGATTGCTTAAATTGGAAAGTACAGGAACAACCGTGGCAATGCTTTTTCATTGCCATTTGCTTGTTGGTCTGTTATTAACAAACCAGAAGACGTTGATATAGCAGCAGTATTACTGGGCTGTAACACGTGGCAGTGACAGCTGCCGGCAGCATTTCAGCACGCAGTACTTCTGCTGTGCCAGGTTGTGCACATTTGCTGTGTCCCCCAGTGCGCTGCTGTGGGCTGTCCCAGAACCGGGCAAGTTTTCCTGCTCCCTTCCCTTCCCTGGGGCAGCCCTTCTAACAGGGAATGGCTTTGTTCTGCCAGCTTCACTGGGTGAACACAGTGGGTATCAGTGGCCGTTGTCAAATGTCAGCAGGTTTATGTACTCTGTGGGTTATGTTTCAAGGTAGCTAGCACAGGTACCATGAAAGTCCTCTCACCCTGTGCCTTTTTTGGGCATTTTGAAGCAAGACGAATGGAGTGTGGGTTGCATTGCCTACCTAAAATATAACTCGCATGTCACGGGTTTGCTTTTTTTAGTTTGCTTTTTTCCCCACATATCACTGTAATAATTACATTAGCAGAGAGCTTTCTGTGAACTTAATGTTCTTCTGGCTTAATGGCCCCTGGTTATTCTCAGGCCATCAACTTTTCCTAGCTGGTCATCAATCCCAAAGAAACGCTTTGTGACTCCATTATTATTGCTTAAGTAGATGACATTTCTGGTGCAACCACTGCCTCCTGGCCAGCTAACATTACAGCAGTAGGTTTTTTTTCCCCTTGCTTTCAATATTGTCAAGGCATTAGAAACAGCTGGTGTGAGAATGTTGTGGCTGTTGGCTGTGAATTCCTCTGACGGTTTTAGGTGTGAGATTTGTAGATCTGTGCAGAAAGACTCTGAGGTGAGCATCAATGATTGGCCCAGAGCAGGTACAGCTGCTCGGCCCCCACGCATCACTGAAGAATTAGTTGGGTAATACCTGCATGTTTCAGTCAGAAGACTTTTTTTCCAAAGGGAACCATTTCCTAGCAAGCTACAGGACAGATGTTGTGGGAGTATTAATGTGTATCACCTAGCAGATGATGACATTTCCCTCCCTGCCCCACTGATGGTTGCGCTTGTTTCCTCACAGGTGATGGATCCTCTGGCAGACATTTAAAATAAGTACTTGTAGCTCAGTAGGCCAGAAACCAGCAGAGATTGGTGTAGGTGAAAAAGTCTTGCAGTGTGTGGGTATTCGAACCCATGTGAGTTAACATTGGTGCTGACTACATTTCCTTTAACCTCATTAGCACTTCATCTTGCTTTCCCAAGCAGGATGGTGGAGAAGCTAGTTCACCTTAAAGCCTTTTGCTGGGTAATTCATCAAAGTGCCAGGAAAAAGCTTAAAGGAAAATACATGTAAATACTGCATTAGGAAACCTTGAGTACAAAAGCACAAACGTTGATACTCATATCATTAGCTCTGGAGTGCAGTCCAAACACGTGTGAGAGAGAGGACTTTTCTTTCTGGGGAAAGATTGAGACACAAAGCTTGCTGCTTCTGTCATTACACAAATCATACAGTTATTTTTTTGTTTTAATTTAACAAGCAGTTAGCCATTCTTGCAGAAAACAAATGCAGACAGCAACCACTTCTTGCTACCTTCAGAATGTCAAACTGAGGGCTAACCACAGTTCAGTTTGTTGTGTTTTATTTTGGGAGTGTTTTTTTTGGCCAGCATGCCATGTCAGGACAGCAGCTCTGACCACCTCCTCTTCCCCATGCTGGATACACCAGATACAGATCTATGGTCTGTAATGTAGTGTTGCTGATCTTAGATGCTGCAGTATAGAGAGGTACACCCTCAAACAGACTGTGCCTCCCACTTTGCTGTATTGCTGTTGGAAATCAGCAATTTGGGGATGGTCTTTGGCCCTTTGCCCCTTTCCAGCTCTCTCACTGAGCAGCAGATGAACACACATACGTCTCTTGTTTATATATGTGTTGGTGACAAACTTCAGTAGAATGATTTGCAAAGTATTTTCATTTTCCTGAATGCTTGTTTTATTCTCCCAGCTCTATTAGGTCAGGCACTGACTGAACAGGCACTGCCTATTTCATTTTATTGTGTAACTTTTAAGCATGACCTGACAAGCTAGAAAAAGTTCAGTGCTCTAACTTGCTGTCATGTAAGAGATATGCAGACGTTAATGAGCAGCTCTGACTGTTGAATCACAGTGGAGGCATGAGAGCACTACTGTGGTCATGGCACTGACTTGGAAATGGTGTGGAAGGTTTAGACCAGGATATAATTCTCTTCTCTGTGCAAAATGTCCTGACCCCAAGGTTGAAAAGCTATTCACGCCTGTGCTTACGGAGACTTAAAAAAATGATCAGTTCCTGCAGAAATTAGGAGGAGAATCAGCAATACTCCAATTAGAACTCTTTTATAACAAGTGGAAGAACAACGCTGTGCAGCTGTGAACGGCATAGAAGCTGTTGTGATTACTAAATATGAAGGTTATTAAACCGCGGTGGGAAGGAGGACTTAAACAGTGGATTCAATTCTATGGAGGATTTTTAAGGGCTACACATGATTTTCCCCATCTATAAAAGATATAGGTAATATATCCCCAGTTATTTGGGAAGAATGCTGAGAGATCTGTGCAAAACCCTCCGAGGTCTTTTTGCTCTAAAATATGCAATGTATATGTAAAATATGAATTATACCTAGTGCATGGGGAGGTGTTCACAGCTGATCTTGAAATATGTATGTCTTTTGCAGCCTTTAAAAATGCACTGCAAGAGCTGTGCATTGGTAACCAGTTCTGGACACCTTCTGGGAAGTAAGCAAGGTGACAGAATCGACGAGACGGAGTGCGTAATACGAATGAATGATGCACCTACTCGAGGTTACGGGCAGGATGTTGGGAACAAAACAAGCCTGCGAGTCATTGCACACTCCAGTATTCAGAGGATTTTGCGCAATCGCAACGAACTCTTAAACATGAGCCACGGTGCTGTGTTCATCTTCTGGGGTCCCAGCAGCTACATGAGGAGAGATGGTAAAGGCTTGGTGTACAACAACCTGCAGCTGATGAATCAGATACTGCCTCAATTAAAAGCATACATGATTTCTCGCCACAAGATGCTTCAATTTGATGACCTTTTTAAACGGGAAACTGGGAAAGACAGGTGAGAAAATTTGTGGGGATACATTTGGGGGAAGTCATACAGTAGTAAAATAATGTAGTTTATATGTACCAATTTGAGGTCTGCTCAGAGGGACCATCACACCCATTAAATCCTCCGCTGCATGAGTTGTGGTACGGTATAATACGCCAAATAACATCACTTGCAACGTAAGTAAAAAGTATGCCTCTAAATAATTTGTATGGAGGATTGCCTCATCAATTTAGAATGCCAGCATCTGGCTGTACTGTTTATACAGCCAACGAGGTAGGAGCTGGAGCTGTTTAAATCTCACTTCTGAGGTTATATACCTGGAAGTTTTTTACTGATTCTGAAAAATCAGGATGGATAGGTTATGTTTGCTTACAGAGGAAATGCTACCATTCTGTGAATTATAATAGCTGTTTATTGAATTTAAGCATTCTTGGAACACTGCAGCTGTAAAGCTTCTTGTAAAACAAACAAACATTAGTCATACATTAGGTGCTTCAGAAGCGTTCACCTTACAGTTCCAACTGGGAAAAGGCAAGTTATGATAGTTACATCTTTATGAGGCTGTCTGTGACTTGTAGGCTGATCTTCAAATCAAAATTTTAATTGGTGACCCACTGCAGGACTCGAGCATTTTCATATATAATGTTTGAAAAATGGGCATTTAAGCCAGAGACTTCCTAGAGAGAAATACATTTATTTTTAATGAACTCGTATTTTCTATATATTAAATATGTAGCTGTAAAAAAATTGAAGGGGTCTCTACTAAGGTTCAAATGAAGAGGTGGCTTTGTGGTGGCACAGTAACTCATGGTGAAATTCTCTAATTTTACAAATACTGTACATATGCTGGTCTCTGTCCTATGTGGACAGAGAACACTCGAGCAGGAGATTTGTCTTTTGGGCAGAGCCAGCGGCATGGACGCTCCTGTATCCTGTAGCTTGTGGTAACTGCATCTTAGCTTGGTGTCTGTGGTACCCCATCTGCTTTTCTGTCAGAGTTCAGTTACTGTGGATCAAACTAAGCATCATGCTACTTGACTGACTCACATGAACACCGGGCCCAGTCTTGACTCCCAAAATATTCTCAAGGAGTCTGAGATGATAACAGTGTTATAACGGGTTTGTAGTGTACTCAGTCGTAGACACCCTGAACTCCCAGCGTGAATCAGTGGCACATGGATCCCAGCAGAATGCAGCCTCGTTCTTGTCCAGGTCCTGTTGCACTGAAGCAGCTGCAGGCTTTGCAGGAACCACTGGTTAGTAAGGCACATGCAGCACACATGAAGGACTAAAGGATTAAAACAGGAGGTGAAAATAAATGAATAGGCAGCATGGAAAAAAGAGAAGAAAGATGAAAAGAAACACAGCTAGGCATTGTAAGGGAAGAACAGCCATGTAGCTGTGGGAGCAGAAGCAGTGCATTGTACAGCCCGGAATGATGCCATTCCCTGGGAGGTTTCTGCTGAGCTCTCGACATCAGTCCCTGCAAAAAGAAACAAAGGAGAGAGAAGTGTGACTGCAAGGTTGCAGTAATCAAACCATTCCTTTCTGTCTTGGAAATGATGGGGAAAAAGGTAATTGGATGCATTGTGATTTTAAAAAAAAAAAAAAAAAAAGCTGATTCTGAAATGAAGGGGAACCTTCAGAAAATGCTGTCGGTTAAATAGTATGGTGAATGACAAAGGCTACAGAGCAGTATCCTTGGTATTATAAAGTAACTGTACTTGAAAATAACTTTATAATTGAATAAGGGTACATTAAGAAAATATGATTCAGAACCAATATTATAGTAATTAGATAAAGGAAGCATAAATGAAATAACTGCAGGAAGAGTATTTCCATAGAGATTATAAATGAGATTTTGGTGGAGCAGAAAGGCCTTTAATTGTAATTTAGTGAGCACTACAGAATTATCAGCACAGTGTGTTAGTTCATAGTATAAAAGAATATCTGATAATTTTCCCTAATAAGCACATGACAGTTCTTCATATTCTTTCATTACAGCTGATTAGGTATAAAAACAGGATTCTTTTGTTAGAATTTTGTTCAGATCTTTTATGAAAAGGCAAAACGTTGTAACCCTGTTTCTACAGAGCTGTCCTACAGACATGGTATTTAAAGAGGCCAAAGCAGTACTTGAGTAAGTTTTTAAATCTTTGTTCCATTGTTTAGCATTCAAGCTTGTTTATTCAAAATCAGTTCTTCTCTGACTTACTGAAAACACTGAATTGTGAACTAAGTGTGCGTAAGCAAAAAGGAAAGTAACCCAGCAGACAGCCCTGCTGGGTTTCCTGACACATGCAGAACCCAGGTCATGGCCTAAGTGCAATTGCTCTCTTGGTTTTGAATGCAAGGTCTTAAGGCATGGACTGCTCTAAGCCTAAATTACTTCGTGAGTCAGCAGGAAAGCAACTGCTTGGGACTTTTTCCTACCTTTCTTTTTCCTAATAATTTCAAGCCAGAAATTATTTGCTGTTTTCTTGCTATGCCTGAAGGCCTCTGCTGAGCTTATGACCCAGCTACGCTGTGATAAACTATGCCTCTTCCCACCCCCACCCCCAAAAGTCTAAGTGCAAATTTAGATAAGAAATAAGGCCCCTAATTGGAACTGATGAGATGCTTAGATCAGTTTATCTCCAACTGCTAGTTTAGCCCTGAATTTATGTCAGAAGTAGTAAATACATACATTTTGGGATCTTTTACATTACCACGTAACTGATAGGGCAAAACGCGGAGGCTCCCCAGCATCCTCTGTACCACTTTGTTGTGCTTAACTTGCAATAGTTTCACTGTTCATTGAGGAAATAGGAGACCTCAGCACCAGGAAATAGGAGACCTCAGTACCAGGCATTCCTCAGTCTGACAGCATTCTTACTGTCCTGCAGATAACCTACTTGGAGCCAACACAGCACTCATTTGGGAAGCTGTATAGCGTGCTCCTGTCTGCTGAATTTCTGTACTAGTGATGACAGCACTTGCTTGTAATGGCTGTTGTAGTCTTGAGTCTCTCCTTCCAGGATTGATGCCTGACTTGGTCTTGCACGGCTGTCCTAAATACACAGTTACACCTTTAATACTTGCTTCTCACCAGCATCTAGTGTTCCTCTTGTTCCAAGACAGCCAGCTCTTCCCAGGCACAGGCATAGTGTGTGAGCTCAACGCAGAACTGGGACTTCCAGCCCCATGTGCCAGGCAATCAGTAACCACTACAGTTTAGTTGCCAGCTCTTAACCACAAAACAGCAGTGACAAACAAGTGCTAGAATGAAAAAACATTACTGTAGCCATTTTGTAAGAGTCTGTGACAGAGCACAGTTTAAGCACAGGTATTAAATCTCCTTAAAATGTGAGGTCACAGGATGATATCTACTAATTCTGCATAAATACTGCTGGGATCAGCTGTGCTTCTTTGAGAACTTCTGCCATCCTGTAGAAAAGGCCAGGAAAGGAGCAGCCACGCAGGGTGCCCTTGCAGCACTCATAGGTCATAATCAAAGGTGCCACCAGGCAGAGAAGGGACTCAGAGCAAGCAGAGGGTTGGGGTCTATGGGAAAGCTTCCCAGGTGGCTGCACCTAACCAAGCTTCCCACCAGTAGTCACAGGGCATAGCTGAGAGCTTCTGGATTGTGGACCAAGGTGTGAAGGCAGATGATGAGACGAGTACTTGGTCTCATCTCCTCTACCAGACAGGCTCCTCTGTATGCTATGGGAGGTTGCATTTTAAGCACTCCTCTTCCCTGTGATGCTTCTTGTTTAGTATATAAGTTCCATTAATTGATTACAGATGGGTGGTGTTTATCCAGCACATTACTAGCAGGAGTACGTATATACAGGACATGAAGTTTCACTCACTTAAGGTAAACTTTACAAAAGGTCAGCTAAATGTTAACGCTGCTGTGCCCAAAATTAATTACGGACAGAGTATTTGTGCACAGGTTAGTTGACTGACAGAAGACACTGGTAAAAACTGTTAAAAGATGAATGAGCAAAGTCATCCTGGTTGCTCAATTTTCATAACCTCTCATAAAAATGAAAAAAAAAAAAAATCGTAACCTTTCTTAGAAATGAAAAAAATGCCCAGAAATTATTTCAGATATTTTAAAGAATTTTTTGTCAGACTAGAAACTTAATGATGTTTTTGCTTTCAGGAAGATATCCAACACTTGGCTTAGCACGGGCTGGTTCACAATGACTATCGCATTAGAGCTGTGTGACAGGATAAATGTTTATGGCATGGTGCCACCGGATTTCTGCAGGTAGGATTTATTTTGGAACCATTATTAGCCAACGAGGTTGAACATTACAAATATCTGAATCTTGAATTTTCTCTCTGAAACATCTTCCATCCTCTTAAAGCAATTAATTAACATGTCCCAAGATCAGATTCTGAAAGCAACAAACAGCATTTAATTATGTCATATAAAATATTAAAAATTTTTGTTTGTAGTGCGGGAGAATTAATCTATGTTGTTGGTTTCTTTTAGTCCCTGAATATTTATCAGCTAAAAGTAAAGCAGTAATTGGCATGAAATTAATCTGAAAAAGAGCACTAGAAAATATTACTTTGAATTTGTTTTTAAAGGTTGCCCCCACAATTAAGAGAGAAAAGCAGTTCTTACAGTGACTAGCTTCTAAATTAACTTCCTATACAAGTAAAGTTAAGATTGTAGTATTGCTGTCACAAAAATACCAATCTTCCAGTAAACTGGTTCCCTAAATAACCTAAATAAGCCCCAACAACAACCCCACAGAATTTGCATCTGCAGAGTAGATACATTCTGTCCTCTCTTCACCCACTTTGGTCGTGCAGAGTGTGGGGAACACGTGGTAGGAGCAGACATGTTCTCTCAGTGGAAGCTGTGGGACATGTTGATGTTGGTTTATAAAGTAACAGCTTGTGTCCATTTCACAACTCCACGATGCCCCAGCACTATACAGGCCTCAGACCTGAGGTGTTGGTTAGGGTTTCCTGTGGTGGGCCCAAGGTACTGGGAAACTGACTTCAAGACTTGGTAGTTGTGGTATAAGCTCCTTGCAAATGTGGTTTACAGCAATGGTCTTTTTATGCTGTTCAGTATCATCTGTCTGCCCATAACCAGACGTAGCGCTCAGGCCTTCTGAAATGTGTGCTTAACATCTGCACCCCTAGTCCTGATCCATTTGCACTGCACAGAGCTGGTTTGCACAGTATGAAATGTTTCATCCCCTGCTCCTGAACTCCTCTCACTAAGAGCAACTGAAGTGATCTGACTGAAGTCTGTTTCCTTGGCTAATACAAGATACATTTCAGGGGCATGGGGAGCAACGCTGCAGTGACAGCTTAGCTCATCTGTCACAGAGAATAGGACTGCTTTGACTTTCTTGTGAGCACTAAAAAGGATCATTCAAAAATCTGCATTTATCCTGGGCACAAAACAGTAGAAATCCCTGAAGAAATTATAGTATAAAATGTCAACAATAAATCCCACTTTGTGAGAATTTTTACAAATTATAACAAAACCCCAATGATAAATGCTGTGATGTACTGCCAGATCTCATCATGAATTCTCCAAGGAAAACAACAAACTAGATCAGATATTTCAGGCAAGATAAATACCTTCGCTAGCACAGTATTTGGTTCCCTTGTCATTTCAGTCGGCAAAGCCACATTCCTTCAGTTCCTGTTCTGAAGTGGTTATGGCCCTGTCATCACTGTAAGTGGCTGGTCTGTCTTTCTCGTCTAAAAATCCAGTGGACATGGACAGGCTTTGGGGTCCTGACGGGCAGGAAGCTGGCTGTGAGCCAGCAGTGTGCTCCTGCAGCCTAGAAGGCCAGCTGCATCCTGGACTGCATCAACAGGGGTGGCAACAGGGAGAGAGGAGGGACCGCCCCCCTCTGCTCTGCCCTTGTGAGGCCCCATCTGGAGCACTGTGTCCAGGCCTGGCGCCCCCAGCACAGGAGGGAAGCAAACTGTTGCAGGTCCACAGGAGGACACAAAGATACTCAGAGGCCTGGAGCATCTCTCTTGTGAAGAAAGGTTGTGGGAGATGGGCTTGTTCAACCTGGAGAAGAAGAAGCTACAGGGAGACCTCGTGGCCTTGCAGTGTTCAAAGGGAGCTTACAGGCAGGTGGGGGAATGGGCTTTCTATACAGTCTGATAGTGACAGAACAAGAGTGAGTGGCATTAAACAGGGAGGATTTAGGTCAGATGGTAGAAAGAGAATCCACCCAGAGAGCTGCAGGTGTCCCATCCCCGGAGGCTGGGTGAGGCCCAAGGCAGCCTGAGCTGGTGGGGGGTAGGGGGGGCAGCCAGATTGTGGCAGCAAGTTGGAACTGGATCATCTTTAATATCTCTTCCAACCTAAGTCATTCTGTGATTATGTGAAATGCAGAAGATAACAATGCTCAATCTGAATTTTTCAGGTCAGGTTCCTTGTTAAAGTCAGATAAGCTTAGGTACATGTATTTACCAAAAAAATGAAAGCAAAAAAAACCCCCACAAAAACAGCAAAACACATACAAAAATATTGAGAGGGTAAAATGGTAACTAAGACCACATGAAAGGCTTTCATAGAAACAACACACTGGAATCAAATGGATGTAATATTAAATTATAACAAAAAAATGCTGTAATAAATCCTACTGTCAGTAAATGTAATAATGCTTACAGCTTGGATAACAAAGATGCACTTAACTGACCATAGAAGAGGAAGAAGGTCATTTCTTAACCAAAATAATATAAAATGTCTTAAGGTTTATTTAACTAACTATGAAGGGGAAAACTACAGTTCCAAATGCACCAGCTGCCATAAATGAAGTTAAACTTACTTTCTCATCAGCCACTCATTAATTTAAACAGTGCATCCTTTCAGAGAAATAAGAGAACAAAATAGGAAATCATAAAGAAAGAAACATTCTGTAAACAAATGTAAGTTAGGGCAGATTTGTCTGGCTTCCAGACAAAAAAAAAACAACAAAACTACCATTTCACAAAACTAAGAGAAACCAACCCAACCCACCCTACCTCTCATGTATGCATGAGATGGTATAGGTACAAGACTATTTTACTTGCTGTGCAACTAAGGAATCATTAAGATTTAAAAAATATACATTAATGTCCTTAATATTATTCAAATTGAATATCACCAAGCACAACTCCAGCAAATATTCATTATTTGTTAAGTATTAATCTGTGGAGTAAGTAATGAGTGTGGGTGATCAGTGTCATGGAACTGAATTAGCATCACGTCCGTAACATGAAGGACACCTCAAAGGTATCATGAACATTATACAGTTGATTCTGCTACAAATTATTAGCTTAAAGATCATTAACCAAATTGCTTGCAACCCATGCGGGAAAAATAGTCCAGTGAAGCAGTCTGCACTACTGACTAAAAAGATCTGCCTCTGTTAATTGCAACAACATGTTTTAGATTCATTTCTATTTACTTTCACTGGACATTGAACTGATAGTTTAACTGGAATTGACGATGTGATTATTATAAATTTCTGGTAGCACAAAGCAAAGCTGTATGTAATACCAACTGCCTTTTGCTTGGCTTCAGATTTCTGCTGTGCTAAGGGTTAATGGCTTTGATATTGCTTTCACGCTGCTAGATATGTCTGTCTTGCACATTCTGGAATGAGATGAAAGCCTGTGCTCGCATGCACGTTACGAAGCTTTTTGGAGAGAGTGTGCATCTCTCCCTTTTCTGTCACAAAACAAGTCATCTTGCTGTACTTGTTTGTGTCCAGGGATCCAGTCTGATCCTAGCCGGGCAGGAAGGAAGCACTGCTCTCTCTGAGCAGCCTTAAGCAGTCTGCCACATGCACTCACTTCTGCCTATGATGGATATCAAGCATTTTCCTCTTGTTTCCCTACACCAGCAGCCAGATTGCAGTGCACAGATAGCACCACGACTCCTGCAGAAGCTGCAGTGCTGCTGCTTTTCCTTGTGGCTGCTCAGCAGCATCTGCAAAGGATAGAGACAAAGCTTAATGCAGTTTATAGTAACACCAGTTCCTGTCTGTTGGATTCTCTGCAGCGCTGAAAGGTTGGTTTCTTACAGGGATCTCTGTGTTCTTACATATGCAAGGAAAATTCAAGGTGTTGAAGAGATCCCTTTAACGTCCTCCTCCTTCTTTCTCTCCCTGCCCCCCTTCATGGGCCTTCTGGAACTCAAAGAAACTTAGAGCTTAATTCTGAGCCTTATTTTAACTGATATGAATAATTTTTGCTCCAATTATGGAGTCAGATCATTTTCCTATGAAGAATCCTCATTTGACTGCCAGGCCATTTCCCATCTGTGATAATTTGCCTGAAAATTGGCATTTGAAATCCTTTAATTTATTCCTTTGGGCACCGCTTTTAAATCTAGTGTGGTTTTTTTTGGTTTTTTTTTTTTTTTTTACCTCCTCTCTCCACTTTCAATTGCTTTAATTCAACTGCAAAGAAGCAGTTGTTGCTACTTACATTTGCTGGGGCGTACGGAGGACTTGATGCACGTAGATGATAATATAAACTGCATGGGAGATAGCGATGCCCTTTAGTTCCTTATACCCAAATCTCACTTCATCACCTTACTAACTTAGTAACAAAATGCTTAGATGGTTTGGAAAACCGGGCTGGAATGCATGCCAAGGAAATGAGCTCCTGGGAACAGAAGACAAAAAAATTATCCAAAAACTTAAGGACTGCTGGTGCAGCATGTTGCCCATCGCTCAACATGTTAATTGCGTTTTGTTCACCCTTCAAAGAACGAACTGTTTGACAAAGCAAGTCAAGCACCTGTGGTTTCAGTGGGTTGCTTTATAACAGCCCTGTTTGTAAAGGGAGAGGTTGACCAGAACACGGGATGGGATGGCCATGTTTTTCTGTCTCGTTTCTTTTGAGACAAACACTGCTTGCTGTATTTTCAGCTTTTGCTGTGGGTGGATACCATCTGTGGGAAAATGTGCACTGAAGTGGCAAACAGTGGATGACTGACATTGGGTACAAGCACTTATGCTGCTGCTGCGCTGGCAGGCGATTAGGCAGGAAGTAGAGTATATTTTACAAAGGATCTTCTCTCGATTCCTCCCAGCTGTGATATTAATATGCATGCGAAGCCTGACAAAATACTGATTAATGTCCAGTATCAGTCAGTGATAAAACAGCATCTGTTTTAATGTTAATAAATGAGGTGGCAAGCAATTTCCGCATAGAAATTACTCATGCATTTCATTTGCTGGTGACACAAGCTAATTGCAGAGTTAGAAGATAACACAGTACAGTTAATTTCAGTTATGCTGTAGTTGCTCAGGCCAGAATTCCAATCCAAGCCTTAATAGCATGATATCTGGGGGAATCCAGAACTTCCTCAAAAGGAAAAAGACTTCAGACAAAAAGTGGTAGGTATTAAACAGCTTTTCAGTGTTCCTAAACCTAAAATGCATGTGGACCTTTAAGCCTCAGAATGTCAGAAGAAAACAAGGCAGGAGGATGCGAGCCAGATGCGCTATCAGCACAGCAGCCTGACTGGCTCATGGTGCAGTACTGGGCCTGAGCAGTTAATTTAGTTCCTCTGTGACTGCATTTATTCAAAGACTGCTGGAGATAAGATTTCAACTTCACTAATTATAATTTTAAAGCAGTAAATTTCCATCACGCAATATAGGTTTACCCTGGAGAACACAAGTAAAACCCATCTAGAGTGAAGAAAAGAAGCCTAAATGAAAGGCAGGTGTCTGTGTGTTTAGTAGTTGTAAGAAAACATAAGCGTTTCCCATTACTTTTACAGTAATCATACAAATGATTCATTTTAGAGATTGTAACAAGAAGTCCAATGTCTTAAGAGAAACTTATATGAAAACGAAATTGAAGATTGAGATCTAATAGTTGTACCTAGAAAGAATGTACAGAAAAGGGTATTTTTTTACATTAAAAACACACTGTCTGGAGGTGGGAAATTAAAAGATTTCTTTTTGCTCTCTTATGTATTCCAGTGAGAATTCGTACAGTACAGTTAGAATCCATCTTGTTCTGGAAACACAATATTATTGTTATTCTACTGTGGTAAGATTGATCGCCCTGTTGTGTTACTGGGAAGCTAGACTGATTGAATTAAAATGTTAATTTACAGTACAAATGGAAAGCAGCAGTAATATCGTACATTACCTCTGCGCATACAATATGGATAATGGTAAAATAAGAAGAATTAGAGAATTGCATAGGTGACAGAATTACACAGTAAAAATAATGACCAAGACAGAATAGTGACAGATTGTGGATGCGTTCAATTGAATTTGAGCTTAAATATTAGCTCTTCAAAATGAAAATAATCAACTCAATATTAGAGCTGACAGCCCTGACTCTGTGTGAGATTTCTTGCTCTGTCGTGCAATCCTTACTCGACTCAGGTTTTCATAGAGAGCACTAAGGCTTTACTAAATGGCAGTATTTCAATCAATCAACTTTCTGCTACTTTCTCTGCCACTACAAAATACTTTCTTGGTATTAACTGTTGAGCGCTGTACAGTTGGGTTATTCTGTCTAGGACAGTTATCTCTCCTTGAATTCAGGACAGAGACAGCTGTATGAGCTCCTGTCAGTCTGTGCTCAAAGCAAAAGAACATAATGGGTATAGTTTAACGTGGAGAATAAAAGGAGAGTGAACCACTGTGGCTTATTACATTATAAACACAATACACGTGTCTCTTACAGAATGCAACATCAAAGCACTGATGTTAAAACTGTTGAAATGATCTTTATCCTAAATATTTCATGAATCTTTGGCGCATCCTATGTGACACCATAACTGCTGGTTAATGCTGACGGGCTCACGAGGTCAGTGTGAACGGCCTGAACCTTCAGCTCACATACACACGTGCAAGTTGCCATTTTACAATAGCAAACAACTCGCTCAGGCATTAGATCTTTGATATAAAGCCAGGACCAGCGGGCTGTGTCGCTCACCTGGCGCGCAGATGTGCTCACTGAAGTTGTGCACTCACACCCGTGTGCACCAAGCTGCGAGTGTTCGGCTGAGCTGCTGTGACACAGATAACCACTGCCCCTCCATCTTTCTTTTCCCTTTCTTTCCCTATTCCAGTAAATACCTCTGCAAAGCTTTTTACAAATCACTATCTAGATATAAATCTCTTAAGCAGTTTGCTTCAAATTTCAGAGTAGTAGCACAGCCCTGCAGCGCTCTCCCTTATTTCTGAGCTACTGCTGTCCTTTATTTAACCGAGAGGAGGAGATTAAAAGAAGGAGCAAAGAAAAAACCTTTGCCACATTCTGATGTGTTAAATATTCAGGAAAAATGCAGATACCTGAAAATGCAGTTTAACTGGGAGTAAAAGTAGATTTGAGCCCATCAGCTTATTAAAGATAGCATCTTTTCAATCAGTAAAATAGAACATCTGGGGCTTCCATCTATTTTTTTTTTTTCTCCCGCAGGGATCCTAATCATCTTTCAGTACCTTATCATTATTATGAACCTTTGGGACCCGATGAATGCACAATGTACATTTCTCACGAGCGGGGACGAAAGGGCAGCCATCATCGTTTCATCACAGAGAAACGAGTGTTTGAGAACTGGGCGAGGACATTCAATATTCACTTCTTCCAGCCAGACTGGAAACCAGAACCTCTTACTGTAAATCACCCCGAGATTAAAGCAGCGGTCTGAGGGATGAATGCATAAGACTGCAACCACAATCACCGACTGTATCAGCCACCAGGGTGTTGGACCTTCTGGGACAGCAAGGCAACTGACAGCAAAAGGGTAACAGGATTTGCAGCTGATAACTGCAGCAAGTCAAGAAGTTCCGATGAAGGAGTGCATCCAGGGTACTTTCTTTTGAACTGTGTGTTAATCCAGTCTGTCGCTTTTGGGCCATTATCTGACTTCCTGTATGTGTGTGTGATTTGTGAAAAGCAACTCGGTATCATTAACGGGATGGGTAATTCATTATGGTTTTTTAAAGTACAACACCACTGAATTTTCATAGTGAAAACTGACAGTATTTATTTAATGGAGGTTTTTATGCAACCTAGGCCAGTATTTTTCTAGTTCACAGTTCTGTGGGTGTTGATCTTTCATAATCTTTCAAATCCAAAATTAATATTGCTGATGGTTTGAAAGGCCTAGCTTTTTATTTATAAAATTTGTTTGAAAAATATGATTCTATATAGCATGTAATTAATATTTGATCTGGAAATGTTTCATTTCTTTTAAAAATTTTGGGCTCCATTCCAGCCTAAAGCCTTTAACAGCAAGAATGGTCCCATGTGCAGATCTAGCTAACTTTACATTCTGGCATCTCATGTTAATATGGAAACGGTAGTGGAAATTCTGTTTGATATTAATGTGAATTTGCTGCTGTGCTATCAAACTGCTCTATTTTAATCTAGAGGTGGGGGGAAGGAAGGCAGAGTTCATCCCAAAGAAATTGGCTTACAGCACCATGTTCTCAGTGCAGAAGAGTCCAACTACAGCTGAGGGGTTGTGTTTGGTTTTGCTTGCTGTGGTCCTGCAGAGGCTGAAGGAGCAGCCTTCCTGAGGCAACAATCTGCAGAACAAGCAAGGACAATTTGTAACAACGGCTTTCAACAACACAACCAAATTTCTAAAACCAGGAAGCTGTGCTGCAGTGTACTACAGGACGAGCCAAAAAGAGGGTAGTGCCACACCTGTGTAATCCATGCCTTCCACTGTTCCAAGACCACCACTGACCTCAGAGATCCTGGACTGCACCGAAGCTGGGATGCAGAAAGATTTCCATGAAATTGTCTCCCTGAGAGCAGCAAAGTTACACCTGCAGTATCTGTGTGACGTACGCAAGCCTGGCGAACACAAGGAGTGGACAATGCTAGTTCTGCATGTGGAGGCTCACACTGTGTCTTACTGGGTTACACTTGGCTTGTGAATAAAGAAAATTTCATTTATGCCATTATTTCTCCTTTTGCCTCACAAATACAAAATCTCTAACTGCTCCTGTTGATTATTTTGAAGAAATTATTGCATGAAACACACTGACAAAGGTGTCTCTCATTGGCCAAATAGTAAAGCCAGAACAAAGGTACTGAAGCCTCTAAACCCAGTGAGCTCAACCTCAGAGACAATACATGGAATTGGAACCAAACTCAGTATCATTTAAACTCAGTTATGATATGTTATGACTTCATCTTCACAAAATGTCACAGCAACAGCTGCAGCTGCCCAGCAGATGCCCTAGTTCTCTAGGGACAAATTGCAGTAAAGCACCTTGTCAGAGGTAGAACAGCGTTACCCCTGTAATGCTGTGTAAGAGAATCACTCTCCTTCATAGAAAGGCTTGGGCTGGAAGGGACCTCAAGGATCACGAACCTCCAACCCCCCTGCCACAGGCAGGGCCACCAACCTCCCCATTTAATACCAGACCAGGCTGCCCAGGGCCCCATCCAACCTGGCCTTAACACCTCCAGGGATGGACGGGGCATCCACAACCTCTCTGGGCAGCTGTTCCAGCACCTCACCACTCTCTCTGTTAAAGAATTTCCCCCGATATCCAACCTAAATCTTCCCTCCCTCAACTTAAAACCATTTCCCCTTGTCCTGCTGTTGTCTACCCTTTCAAAGAGTTGACTCTGCTCCTGTTTGTAGGTTCCCTTTAGGTAGTGAAAGGCTGCAATGAGGTCACCCTGTAGCCTTCTCTTCTCCAGGCTGAACAAGCCCAGCTCCCTCAGTCTGTCTTCGCAGGGGAGGTGCTCCAGACCTCTGACCATCTTTGTGGCTCTCTCTGGAACTTCTCCAACAGCTCCCTTCCTTGCTGCAGCACTCCTCACTATCACAAGCAAAGAAATAAAGTGCAACCTATTTTGCCTTGGAACTTTTCTTTTAGTGCTTTTCCTGCTATACATCATTCACCACACAAAATTAATACAAATCTCTGCTTCTGCCAATTACTTGTGACCCATCTCTTGCCAGCTGATCTCTAACTGTCCCTCATTCAGTGATTATATTTTATCCCTTCCACTTCGTTTCACAGAATTCTACGAAGAACAGAATGGGTTTTGAACTGATAGTAATTTGCACATCCCTTTCAGCATGTGTACTGGGGCATGTATCCAACATGTATTACTTGAATTGATGAACTCTGTCAAATTGATTTACAGATCATTTCTAATGTGACTGCAAGAGATGGTGCAGATCACAGCAGGTACTGTGATGCCACAACCCTTCTGTTATTTTATTAGTGATACAATAAGAAGATCTTTTCATATCGTATCATATATGTCATATAAGCTTGTAGTTTTCCCATTAACTGAGAGCTGCAGGACCTACATTCTAAATGTTCAGATTGTGATGTTTCTGGTAAAAATAGATTGTTTTAAAATAGATTACAGTGATCTACTTACAGTGTTCAGCAGGAACTTGCTGAACTTGCTGAACACTTGCAAGACTGCGTTGTGCTCCATGTGCATGCCTCCTGCCTGAAGGACCGGTCAGCGCAGAACAGATCAGGTGAACTATTAAGAATCTGAAGAAGAAAGGTAGGATAAACTGATATTAGATCGTCTGACTTTCAACAGAGTAAAACTAATAGTTGTAAATACTCCTTCTTCAGTTTCTGTAAATAGTTATTATCAGTACATTTCCAGTCTTTTTAAAGAACAAAAAACCCCAAACTCAGTCTCATCAGCTTCCTGTGACGGTTCAGCATTCACCAGATTACGGAAAGTATGGAGGTGTATTTCCTAAGTCACACCCACATGCATAAAGCTTAACTTCTGTAAAAGGAATTTGATGAAGTCAAGAAGGCAGCAATTTAAAAAAAAAACGATCACAAAGACTTAGAGGGAACATAAATCCACTCCGAAATATGGAAGTTGTTACAGGATGGCAAACAAATTGGTAAACTTTTTAAAATGCTGCAATTTCAATTGTATAAAAATACATGAGTAATTTATAAAAAGCAATACATTGAGCTATAGCATATCCTGCTACTTTTCAGCTTTAAGCAAGGTTTTATGGCCTAGTGATAAACAGATTTATGATTAAAAAAATACTGCCAGGCCAAGGATAAGTAGTGCAACCAGAAGCTGTTGCCGTTCTCTAGTTTATGCTGTCATCTTACACTTATCACTATAATTTGACTGATTCATGATCTTCATTATGCATCATTTTACATATTAAAAACTATTGTAAAACAGTGTTTACACACTAGAGCAGTTTTAAGAGGTGTGTTACTTTATCTCTGAACTTTCAGCATACCATAGCTTTTTATGCTGGGTTTAATCTGAGCAGCTGTTTTTTGCCCTAAAGAACCATAGCTGTTATGCCATACCATGGACAGCTGGAATTGAGATCAACTGCTGAAGAAACCAAGAAGTGTCAAGTTTTCTGAAGCAAGTAGACAAGAACCAGGTGATGAGTCCACATGGAGCTCCACAACTGGTTTTGCAAGGCTGCACTTCAAAGGCTTGCAAAGAAACTGTGGTACTACAGCACAACAGAGATCTTCACTCAAGGAGCCCATCTGAACACAGGAAACAAAAGTTAAGAGAAACATCCTCAGATTTTGTTTGATTTGATGATTTTTGTTTGGTGGCCCTGCTAGGCAGGGGGGTTGGAACTACATGATCCTTGAGGTCCCTTCCAACCCGGGTGATTCTGTGATTTCCTGTCAGGACAAGGTTACAAGCAGAATTCCACGGGAAAATGTCACAATATATTTGTGCTGCTTTTCTGAACTGCTCCCTTGACATCTATCGTAGGTCACACCTAGACACAGTATGTAGGGGCTAGACTCTAAATTACAAAACAACAGACATTTCTGTACAGGACGAACATTAATTCGTGTGCTGAAGCCCAGTCACAGTCTTGCCACGCTCACACTGTGCCAACGCAGAGCAGCAGCACATGCCAGGCAGCCATAACATCCAACAGTAACTGCATTTTCATTTTACTGAAAGCAATGTGAAAGCATCTAGCTCAGATGGAGAGCAAGACTGGACCCTACTTAACAGTCAAGGAAAGCTATCTTAATCATTTCTCATTTCTCAGAGCAGATTTATCTCCTTGAGGAGATGCACAGTGATATTTAAGTCTGTCAGCTTCTTTAAGCAACCAAGACAGACAACCATTAAGATAACATCAGTGGCTTTTAGGACACAAAGTACTTCCTAAAGCATAGAGAAGATAAAAGGAATAATGCATATTTAGCAGGGTATAAGGTGTTAGAAATTCGTTGACTTCGCTTTGGCCATCAGATCAAGCTAGAGCCTATTAGTTATAATCCAAACACACAACATGATCCAAATCACCACGTGAGTCTAAGGGAAGAGCTTTGGTTAGGATGGTTAGCTTTTGGTGAGGATGTGTTCCACTCATTCCATCTCTGCCCTAATCAAGCTGCACACAATGCCAAAACCAGAAGATGTTACCAGTATTCAGTGTGTTGTTCATTTGTGTAGGACAAAACTGGAATATCTCCACTGCAGCTTTTTTTTCCCTTTAAATACAGCCATACACTTCTAGACAAGGAGTATACCATACAGTAAGAGGCTTCCCCTGGTCACTTAGTTGCAAATCCTGTTGCACACAAGCAGCAGCTACACAGAAATAAGCGATAAAAGCAAGTGCAGAAGATGGGGACAAGTGTGAAGGAGGCTATGCAGAAGAGCTGTACAAAATACTGCCGTGCACTGTCACAATATACTGACAATTCTGCTCATTGCTCCTCTTGCACTATAAAGACCACAGGAACCTAAAATCATCGCAACTTGAGCCACCGTATTTTGAGCTACACAGCTAACCTGGACACACAAACCAGCACAAAAACAGTAAGCAACTAACAAAAAGCAAACAGCAATAGCTAATACTTAGTGGTGTTCTTCATTGGTAAATATCAAAGCATTTGACAAAGGAAGTAACTATCGTTATATTAGAACCAAAGGTGAAGAAAGCACAGGGGCAAAACCAATGGAACCAATAAATGTGTAATGTATGACAGTGTTATTCCAGCATGTCATTTTGCAGGCAAGGAAAGAAATACATTTCCTAGTTCAAATTAGTTGACTCTGACATAGGAACAAGCGTGACATGCCACAAACCTCCCCAACAAAATACATCCCAGCAGCTGTGTCACCAAAGAAATGATTCAGTGAGCAGTGTGAAAAAAATCTTACTGAAAGAAAGAGCATCTATGCTAGAGCTTTGCCAGCATTGCTCTTACTCTGCAGAGACAGCCTGTTTCTGGTAGTGCTTATTTTGTTGAAGGGACTCCTGCAAACAATGCTACCAAAATAACTTGTGTTGATACAATCCACGCCTCTAGTAAGCCTGTTGGCCAGAGCAGCAAAAATGACATGCCTGTACTGTCAAGGCTTCAGTGAGCTGTCTGTATACACAAAATAAGCAACACAAACAAAAATCTAAAATTTGCACGGATAGGGAAACACAGCAGAACTAAACATTAAGAGCTGTATGTGTTTATAAACTTTGAACTGAAACCTTAAACGCTATCAATTTAATCATCAAACAAGGCAGAAATCCTCATTAAGGAGAAAAAAGTGACTTATTTAAAATAACTTGCAAGTGAAATCAGTGCTATGAAATGCTGATTTCAGAGCACATTACACAGCATATTCAAGTTTTCATCATAAAACCTCAATACTTTCAAGACATGTTTCCCTACAGCATGTTATTTTTGGAAGTTAATGGAAAGAGATAAAGCAGAGAGAACAGTGGAGCACACAGAGCAGAAGATATCTTCCAAAAGAAACATTTCTCCTTTTTATTTTTTTATTTAAAAAATTGCTTTTCAACACCCCAAAAATACAAAAACTCCATTATGCTCATTACTGTAAAGAAGTGCTGAAGTTACGGTTGATGAGACACTTTCATTATGCACACTATTTTCTGTAGTTCATAACTTTATGGTTCTGTTAGCCTCCTGGGTGAGATACTTTATGCTTGTCTTCAGTCCAGAGGTGAACTCATCCAGAAAGCATCATTCTCCCAGCTCACAAAGAGCTCTCTGACAGAGTTGCAAGGTAGATTGAGTTTTCTGATGCTCCCAAGCTTTGTCCCCAAATTGTCCTACACACAACACCTTCCTGCCCCATCACCATGCAGATCCTCTCCACTCATGATAAATTCAGAGTTGAGTCTGGTCCTTGCTTTTTCACACACCACTGGGTTAGGGCTACGTACAACTCAGCTCTGCTTTAGCACACACCAATGCCCATCTGCAGGGCATTAGGCCATGAGATTCGTGTTCATGTTTCCAGGATGTGGTACCAGAGAATGGAAATCCCTGACTGCTGAACAGAGAGAAATGGATTCAATTTGCACTCATTTGCTTTGCTATAATCAATAATGGAAACCATTTTTTAGTGAAGGTAGAGCGACAGGTCACTCTCTAGAAGAGTTATACTCTATATAGTCTATGCTATACTATTGTAAAAATACTTCTGATGACTCTGTTACCTTTGCTTATGCTAGGATGACAGCATTTCTTTGTGATATTCAGATAAAAAATAAAAAATATTTGGCTGGTTGAGACAATTTAAATGCTGTGTCGTCACTTCTCAGACTTCCTTCACTGATTTGCGAGGAATCTCACTTCTCAGTCTATTACAGAAGCACAGTTTAAGTTCTGCATTTGTGTAAATGTTTGGACATGGTCATACGAAACTGCTCTAAATGCATGCAATACTTTAAAGACAATTTAAAAATGAAAGGAAGTGCAGAGGCATAGGAGAACGCATATAGGAGTACAAGAGCAGTTAACTTACCATTCTTCAGTTGAATACTGTTTCAATACATGATTCTGAGAGAGCTGAAATACTGAAATGAAACAATTATTTTTATCAGCCACCAGTGTTGTAAACAACATCTACAAAACCCATTGCAGACAGATCAGTCCAGTTACACAGCAAAAGGTGCAGGCATACACATACCAAATACTGCAAGCATGAGTGTGTTTGCTTCACAGACCTACCTATACAGACTCTCAAAATATCAAAATTAATTCTGCTCTGTAAGTTTCTATGCAAGGAAACATAAAGGAGCTGTCAACTTGCCTATTTTCTCAATTCCATTACAGAGATCATCTGTGCACAACGCAGAAAGCATCTGCACTGCACAAGCATATTTTCTGGCCTGTAAAACACGAATAGTGTATAAGAATGTCCTCATTTGTTCCTGGAGTCCAGATCCCAAGTGAGTTTGAAGGGCTGTCAGCGGAAAAGATACCAACTTAGAAGAAATAAATATGTAATTGCACAAACACATTTACAGACAGCAAGAAGATATTTCTAGAGTTGTTTTCAGGCTAAACAAAGAATAAAACATATTGTATAAAAAATAATGTGTAGAATAATGTAGTACAGGCAACTTTATGGTGACTCTGAGAAACATGTATTCCAGTCCCTTACTTTGTGCTTATAAAAACATTAGAAAAGCCCACGGTGTAGTTTGTCGCATTTTAGTATAATTGTTGTTCTCACTTCAGTTTAATCACCTTCACGGGCACATTTACCAAGTGCTTCTATTTCTAAATTGCATTTTAATAACCTACCTAATTGCCTCCTTTTCCCTAAGCAGATAAGTTTTAAAAAGACGGAAAGTTTGGTATCTGCTGTTTCTTGCTGACATTTGTACCCAACATTTCCTGCAAAAGATGGTAGAAAAAAAATTCAGTAAGTGCTGAGGGCTCCCAGTAACTCTAATTCAAACTGAAGCAAGGCAGAAAGCTCTATCAATTTCACTTCAGCCATTTTTAATATGTGACAAAGCCAGCCCATAAAATAAATATTTGATTAAAAATATTCATTACAATAGAAAAAGAGGATCAAAGGCTGGATTAAAAAATGGAATGCAAGCAAATCCTCTAAGAACAAATTCTGCAGGATTCATTTTTCTACAGTATCTACACATATCCATGTCTCTGTATTTCTGCAGCAGCCTACAACAGATCTCAGTAGGTTGTTGTATGAGAACGTATAGCTTCTTGCATTTTAAGAGAAATAACCCTGGCATCATGTTTTGCATATGAACCTACTGATTGTGAAAGATCCTACCCCAAAAAACAAACAAACCACCAAACCAGTACATCACAAAGACATCCATTCCTCATGCTTCACACAGCTTCTCACCTCCACCTTCTCTGAAGAAGCGAACAAAGCTTTCACCTTTCTGATTAAGCTGCTTCAGTTATATAAAAACTTCTCAGTGGCAAACGGGGAAGAAATCACCAATATTTTCCACAGAAGAACAGTTTCTAAAATTATGAGGACATTGGTGTTTTCAATATAGCTTACTTGCTGTTCTTGGAGCTCAGCAAATGCTGAAAGCAATTCCTGCTGTTCAGCAAAAAATACCACAAGGTTCTAGATACCACAACTTTATTGTGAGGTCAAGGTGCAGCAAGCATTTACCTCCTGAAAATGGCTCATTTGGTACTTTTATCCTATCCAAGCCTAGAAGATACAGGGAGAAAAAGGATTTTTACATTCACGAGATGAGCTACACTTCTGTTGCTTATTGTTGTCTAACATCCAACCCAAGAAACAGCTGAGAGTCTCAGTAGCTGCCCTCCCTGTATCCTCTCCAGTCACTGCATACACAGAGGTCTCTGACAAGTCTGCTACCTCTTACATGAGATTATGATGCCACAGCCAGACTGAAAGAGAAGGAAAGCGAAAAACAATAAAAATGTGTAAGCACTCAGATTTGTTCTGTGCAATAGGAAAATGCTCAACACCTGATTCTAAGATAACACTACTGGCCTCAACATAAAGTGTTTACAGATAACACCTAGTAACTTTAAACCACGTATGCATCAGCTTTATTATGATTAGGGGAGAGAAGAGATTCCAAAAGCATTCTGCAAGAGTATCACCTAGTTGGCACCTACTGTTTTTATACATGCAGAAATTTGCTCTTCTCTTTATTAGTATCTGTGTATTACCCAGCCAAAACACAGTTAGCATGCATTCATCATTACATGTCCAAGAAGAACAAATCAATATGCCTGAACAGAATTTACAAAACCTAAATTATAAATCTCATCTTCCAAGTGCTCAGAAATTACTGGATACAATAATACTACTTATAACATTTTCCATCCTGATCCTAGAGTCACAGTCTTGCTTTATGCAAAAATCCAGTGCACTGAAAACCCCAAAATGTCCAAATCCAGATCACGTGGAGTAAAAAGATGACATCTATGACATGCTCTTGGTGGACACGGCGTTCCCATAGTTTCACTCTTTTTGGCATATCTTATAAGTAGATTCAGTGAGGTAATCATATTTTTGTTTCACTTGTACCAACTCAGAATCCTAAATCCAAACTTGTCTAAGGTGTAAGGACTGACCTAAGGGTTGTATTTAACAGAGAAGGAAAGAACACTTAGAAGTGAGATGCCAACTCTGTTTTTCACTATAACCATAATATACATAAGGAGAACTCAGGTGACACCAGTGAATCCAAAGTAGCAGTCAACGCAATCGTCTTGCTTGCTCAAATTCAGAAGATGTGCTTCATGTGTTTGATTCCATATGTCTTGAAGAAAACCATGATAATCAGTGCCCACAGTCCTAGAATAAATCCTCCAGGAGGATGCCAGTCCTTTGGTTTTGGTTTCTGAAAAGAAAAAAAAAGAAAAAAAAAGAAAAAAAAAGGAAAGAGAGAAACACAATTAGTAGTTACGTCTTCATATGAAACAGGCACTGTGCTTCACCAACTGAAAAAAAATAACATCCTGGCTGCAGAGAAAAACACAAGCTGTATTTCTTCGTGAAGAAGCATCTTCTTGTAGATGTTGATGGGAAGAGACTGATGCTCAGGCAAGGAGACAAAGCACCACAGAAAGCCACCAGAACTGTGCCTGGGACACCACTGATGGTGATACTGATGGTATCAGTCTGGGGGACACGTCCAAACTCATTTGTTCAGACAGAACTTCTATCTGGTCTCATGCTAATATAAGAGAACAATGTTTCAAGCATGAAAAACAATTTCAGGAATTGAAAATATGAGAGGTGTTGTTTTTCCATTACCTTGAATGTTTTCTACAGCTCCTTCTGTACGCAGTTATTTAAATAAACATACCTAAACACATAAAAAGCTCAGATTCATTATTAAAGGAGTATCATAACACAAAATAGGATTGTTTTTAATGTCAGTCACATTTCCCAGAGGCCTCATTGAGTCTAACTGCTTTTCCCTAATGGAGAAATATATTCTGCCATTCGAATACCTGTCCCTTCAACAATTTTTTCATCTTTGGTAAAAAGAAATACACTGCAGTCTGTTTTTTTCTTTTTTTCTAACACACACTTAACAGTAAGGCAAGATAAAACTCATCTGTCTCCTTCCTCCTCTTCTCATATTTACAAAAGTTTCAGATATTCCACATACTATGAGAAATGGATTGGGGAAGATAAGAGCTGCTGCACGCCCCAAGATCTGTCTCTGTAAGGCTACGGTGAATCCATATGAATGCAAAATTTTAGTCAAAGTATCAGAATTATGGTATTTAAAGGTATAATTCAGCCTGTCATGCCTATGTCAACTCTTGCCCTCAGCAGCTGTGCTTCATACATCTTCTATGCAGACAGAGATGATTTACAATAATAAATACTGAAGTGAGTGCTGGGTTATTTTACTCTGCCTTGCTGAAAGATTTGCACTGTTCTGTCCTTAAACAGAAAGAGGCACAAGGGGCACAAAGCGTATTTTGGTTCCAACACCTTTAAGTCAAATTTAAAATCCTCTGCCAGCAACATGAATAACTTACAAGAGATGGTACTGCTTCAATTTCTGCACAAATTTGCTTACAGAAGCTTGCCTTGTTGTTCTCCAGTAAACATACCAGGTGGCTGGTGAACTTGAAGGCAATAAGGAGCATTTTGCAGCATCTGTTCTTTCAAAACATCTCTTCTACCAAGAAGAAAACAACGTTTGTGGATTGCTCAGCTTCCATCTGCTAAGCTCCATAGATACAACGTTCAGATTTTTGCTGAAGTACCGTGCTTGCACTTAGCAAGTGGCACAAGTGGCCTCGTCTCCTCTGGCACCTGAAGGAGCTGATACCCAGAAATATTCAACATTTCATTTCCTCTGAAACCGGAATCACAACAGGCATTATAATTTACATTTGTAACAACAAACCTACAGTTATAAGCAAAAACAACATATACTGTTTCCTAAGAAGCACTCATCACCTGCAGCAGAGGCGTTACTGCTACTCTGCCACCTCACTGCTATTCACAGCCATGCATCTCCACACAGAGATCTCAGGAAATCAACTCTGAATGTTCAAACAGGCTGCCAGCACACTTCACTGCTGCAGGTAACAGCACACGACACTTCTCCACACAGAGGAACTTTCTTGTTCAAATCCTCCTAATTAACCCATAACTCCATATGCATATTGCAGTGCCCGTTTCATCAATCTCTTTGTACTATCAATCTTCCCTCTCTTGGATCTCAGACAAATTCCTTACCACAAAGTGGCACCTGACCCTTCTAGACAAATGACTTCAATTTGCAGTCAGTGACACTAAAAGCCTCTCTCTCCTATTTTGTATAGATCACGTAATTTAATTTCTTTAAAGAATTTATATGAATAAATATTTATAAGGTGATCTATGGGTATGGTTTTACATTCTGTCATACCACGTGCTGAAGGCTGCTCCAGGAAATTCCACAAGGAAACAAAGGCTACTGCAGTCATGTCTCTACACAGGGACATCAAGGGCATAGAAATAATCAGCTTAAAGCCATGTGATGCAGTGCTAAATCATGAAGGATATGTTACTGTTTAAAACATGAAAGTACCCCAAGAAGCATCTGAAGCTATACAAGAGCTTGGTCATCTTAAAAATAAATTACCTGAACAAAAAAGTTTTTTACAGACGTGAAGACTGGTAACTGCATGTAAATACTTAACCACAATAAAAGGGCAAAGAAATGCAACTCTGTTGTACATCTGTAAGTCAATAGCAAGGTTAATTGAGCACAAAATTATATCGAAATATGCCAGTACTTTCCATTAGCAACATGCAGACATCAAAACCTTATGAACACCTGAAAGGTGTTACACAGATTCATGTCTAAACCATTAAAGCATACCTGCAAGAGCTGGAGGAATACCAGTACTGCAGCCATAAGCAATCCCTAGATAAACTGTCGCTATGCATGAATTAGAAAGCATAAGTGAATACAGACTTTCTTCTAGATTCTTAAATTACAATAATAAATCAATATTTAACATATGAACATGGCCTAATTCAGCATCTTATTCTAGCAAATTTCTCTGTAAGGCAAATTTTTGAAAGTCAGGCATTTTCTCACTCACAATAAAATGCTAAATGGACAAAAAATATTAAGTGCTGCAGTATTTTGATTTGCAACTAATTACGTACCTTTACTATGCCTAAATTGATGTGAAAATGTGTATTACTAGAAGACTGCAGGTTTTACTACTTCAAATTTCTGCATAATTTTCTCTTATTTGGGACTTCTCTCGAGCAGCACTGACTCAGGTTATTCTGAATTTCAGTGTAACAGTACCCACATAAGAACTTTACTAAGGACTGCTTATATTTATTAGGTTTTGTGATTTCTGCTACAATACAACCCCATTAAAACGCCCCCTTCCTCCCCACAATAACAGCTGTAACACACAGGTGAAATGCACACAGAAATGGCACAATGCCTCACGAACAAATACGGTCAACAGCTTAATGGCCAGTCGTTACTGAATTGCTGGAGATTCCAAATTAAGAAGATAGGTAGCTAAGCAACAGCAAGCTTCCTCCTGTGAACAGTTTTCTGCTGCACTCTCTTTAGTTCTGCTAGATTCATTATTCTGAGAACTTAAGAAACAGTTAACAGGAAGTTGCTCCAAGTACTGTAATTGAGGAGAGGATAAAACAGTGCATTTTCAAACTGGATGGGTCTGCAGGGACCATAATGGAAAGTATCCAAGATTTTCATTGAAAGTGTTTTGTAAAACATACAGTACTTACTATTGCAATTAAAACTAGTTTTATTTAAGAAATAAAAAGTGTTAGATCAGAAGTAGTAATTAAATTAAGAATGGTTTAAATTTATAATGTTAGATCAGAACAGAAATAAGATTTAAAACACAGCATGGAAAACACTTGGATAAATACCATTATGATCTAACCCTATGGTCCACTTCCAGGAGAACTCAACTTTGTATCAGTGTTCCAAGTTAAATACTGTATAGAAAAGTTAAACCCAGAACTCCTATTTGGATGGCAGCAGTACATAAAGCAATGCACACGGTATAAACACAGCAGTATTATAGCCAGGAATTGAAGCCATTTCCAGACAAGAAAAGGACAGGCCAACGCTTCTGTCTATGTCAACAGCTGTCTATGTAAGAGAGAAACTGGAGTTTCAAAGTGTCCTAAGCCCAGTTTTGATGATACAAAACACCACCTTGGATCCTGGGGCTTTCTGGCAGGAGCAGCAGCTACTAGGGGAAGCTCTGTGCGTATCTCTCTGTAGATTTCTCCACCTCTGCCAGTCTTGGAGGTCAGCAGGCAGCAGCAGGAAGTAAATCACGTGTGCTGCTTGCCAGTACAGTGTCCTGCATCATTGGACATTGGTCATTGGGGTAAATGCTATATATTTTAGGGTGCAGATTTATAAGTCATTCTCATTTGAATGAGTATTTCTATTTCTTTCACCTTACAATGCTACAATGAAGATAGCTAATTTTATGTTATGGTCTGATTTACAGACCATTACTGAAATCTGGAAAAAAAGGTCTTTGAAATCCAAGGCTGACCTCAGACCTAGGGCTGAAACAGTTCACCTGCTTCTCGACTCAGGAAAAAACTGATCTCAGGCCAAAGGATATGGAGGAGCCAAATTCCACCACACAGCACACCATGCCAAGAGCCCTTCATGTATTTCTCAGAGACGCTCCATACAAATTCAGGTTTGCTTCCAATTTAAAATTTCAGGCCACACAATCATTGTATAATTCTTGTATGCAAACACACGACAAAGTTTAATTTCAGAACAAATTTACATGCATCACAATTAAATCACAGCACAAAACATATCCTCAGAGCTTTTTCTGTAAGTATGCACTTCTAATTTATTGGTTACCATTTTGATTCGTGATCCCCACAGTGGGGTGGGGGAAATCAAATAATTCCAGCCATCTAGAAATAGTTTAATCCTCTTTTGTGCCCATAGCAAGATTACAGTCAGAACAGAACTCCAACACAAGCAGTTCCTGTTAATCTGCAAAATATTTTAAAGCCTTTTGCCTAATCTCCTGGTTTGTATTTATTAACCACAGTGCCACGATTACTGATATCTCTAGCGTTAATAAAATGGTGAAGAAAGTTCATTCATCAACAAAAACTCATGGACAACATGAGTTTTACCAACATCTGCATTTTAAATATGTACTTTGAAAATTTTACAGTCACCATAAAACAAATACTGTAGTTTTCATTTCCTTCTAAACTATGTAATCTGTAGGGCTTATTAGAAATGATCCTCTACTTCAAAAATGGCTGCTCATTTGCTATTTTCTACTTTCAGTGTTATCTCTCAGCATTATATAGCACTTTAAAGTGTTTTTGGTGGTT